CATAAAACTTTTTACCGTTTAAAAATGTAATAAATATTTGCTATTATATATTCTTTCAGTGTCTGACATTTTAAAAATTTGTTTACTTGAAACTTGTCATAGAAAAATTGGCGACGTAACAAGGCATAAAAAGTCTTTGAATTTTATTTCTAAACTTGCGCTCCGTTGATCTAACTCAGAGCACATAGGTGAGTACGTCCAATTTGACAAAGATGTTGTCAAATTGGACGTACTCACGTTTTTCAATTACTAAATCGACAGTGTTTTTTTTGTGATTACCTCTCTGAGCATATGTCAGTAAGCTTCAAACCTTGTAATAGATTAAAGACATCATTCGGGGAAAAGTTGAATCGATGGAGCCAAACGTGTTCAGAACTGTGGAAAATAAGAGCCATAAAAAAGCCCATGCTTGCGATTCGGGAAAGGAAGATCAATTACATGACGTTAATAAACGAACAAAAACCTTATTCAAGTTTTAAATGTAAAGTGGCCATTCTATATATTAATACTCTATATAAGTTACATATAACTTGTATAAGTTTCAGACGAAAACATTGCACCAAGCTATATACTACTTCTGCTACATACTAGCTAAGTACACGAGAGTACGGATAATCGGTAGCGGGCCCTTTAATGGCACACTAGCAATGCATACCTAACCTGTTTTTCATAGGACTAAACCTTATCTCGGTTCCAGAGAAGAGGGCGGCATAATTTAAATTACAAAGTCGTAGAGTGTCACAAAGTTAATTAAAAAAAACTTTATTTGTCCAGGTAAAATACTGAAAGGAAAAGCGGCTAAACACTATAAATTTAATTGGAGGTTAATTTATATAAGACTTCCCTGCATGGCCTCGCGTAATCAGGGTCATGTAGGCCTACTAATATTGATTCACCCTAGAATTTGTAATTTAAATTGTACCAATATCTTCCAAAGGAGCCAAGATAGATTTGATCTCGTGAAAAGGGATCAAAAGATATGCTTAAATAGCCCACGATAGCACCTACACTCTAGAACAGTTTTTCCCAATTGGTGGTTCGCGGACTCTGCATGTTTAGAAAACTAATTTAGAAGATCCATAGCATCACATAAATAAAAATCTAAACTTTTTAAAATACACTCATTTTTACAATTGCTTGGCTTGACTTATGATAGCTCATTGAAATATTTTTCAAAGAATGTACAGTTGATGAATCTGGATGAAGTTCTTTCGGATTATATAAATATAGGTGAAAAATGTTTCTAGTTCAACTTTGTTCCGCATATCTTTATGAATAAATATTTTCGATGTTTCGTTAAGTGAAGAACAAGTTCAGAAATCGTGTCGATATTGATACCTGATTTAACGTTGTAAATAGAAAATGCTGAATCAGAGATGTTCGATACAAAATAAGCATGATTTCTCCCAATGAACAGCTACTATATATACATATATTTTAACTTGTTATAAATAAAGATTAGTTTAACTTAACTTGTTTTGAATATCGTTACCTACCTAACAAGTACAGTTATAGCACATATATCAAAACTTTGATAAAGTGTGGAGTCCTTCGCTTACGTTTAAAAAATAAGAGGGAACCATAGCTCTAGAGCCCTTACATTTAGCTAATACATACCAGAAGCAAGATATAGGCAGATGTAATGTTATAGTCTACATTCTGTATATACATATTTTATCTAGCAAGATATTCATTATTTCACCATTCTATTTTCTGAGTATATTATAAGGTATAACGAGCAGTTATTTATTGTGACGTCGTCACAATGCCGGGCTGCAAATTTTAATCATATTTATTTAAAATTTAATTTAAAGTATATGCTATCCACCTCAAATTAGTACTGTAGTGTCTTGCACACTTTTCCTTTAACAATAGAATCGTCATCTATCTAACACCTTTCAGAGGAAATTTTTGAATTGAAATAACATGACTTCCGATTTGCATTAGAAATTAGTATATAGTTAATCGTGGCCTCCTGTCCCTAAGGTTTCTTCTGAGGAAAGACATACGGAAGGACGACAGTGGGAATTTATAGGTCTACAATTTTTTTTCAAATTGCAGCCCAATAACATTATAATTCGTTTAAATGATAAATAAATCACTGTAAATTTCAAAAACTCGAACACTTGAAAACAATTTAATATTAGTTTAAAAATCATTATTACCAGATGTTTCCTATAAATTATTTATAAAAAACATCTATTATAATAACGGTTTATATATATTTATAATAATGATTAAAATAATATTTCTATATTCATAGAAATAGTTATTTTTCTATTAAGAAACGACCATTTTAAAGTAAAGAATATTACATTTCTTTTCGTTTAATAACTTTTTTAACTCTACTTAAAGTATGAAGTTTTTCAAGAAAATGTCTATTATATAATATTAATGCAGAAATGTTTATTTATAGGATGCTTTAAAAATCTTTATTATATCTGGATTAATTCATAACGTAATAAATTTTCTTGCTCAATATATTTCTGCATCAAAAATAAGACATAAAACAATTTACATTAGTTTTAGATAAGTCATTATATAGATTATATAGAAAAACATTTTTACAACTGATCTTCATTAATTATAAATTAATCTATCTATCTATATTCGGTTTATGGCGTCTGACGTTGCCTTCCGATCTCTAGAAACCTCTCCATCTCTCTCTATCCATATACATCATTCCTCTTTAATCCCTTTTCCACTACATGCTAACTTTACTCCGTCGTACCAAGTTTGACTGGGTCCTCCTTTTGTTTTCCTGTTTTGTGGATTGTATTCCATTGACATTTTCGGGAGTCTCTCGTCACTCATTCTTTTCACATGTCCAAACCAAAGAAGTTGTTTCCTCTTTATTTCTTTCAAAACCATCTCCTTCAATCCCATTAGGTCTTTGATCCTCTCATTAGTTATTCTTTCTCTTTTTGAGATTCTGCACTATCTTCTCAATGCATCCATTTCAACCGTTGTTACCTTTCTCTTCCCCAGTCATTCTCCATGCCTCCACCCCGTAAACAGAATGCTTTTAACAATAGCATTATATATATATATTTTCTTGATCTAGTTATTTCTTTACCTCACCATATTCCATTTAATCTTTTAACTGCTCTCTTACCTTGTGCTAATCTTGTATTAATTTCTAATGTATCTCTTCCATCTTAATAAATTTGTATTACAAGATAATTGTAATGTTCACATCCCTCAATCTTTTCTCCTTCTTCCAGTTCCATGACTGTTTTAGCTCCCCCTATGCATAAATGTTTTGTTTTATTCATGTTTATATATAAACCTCCTTTAAAATATTCCCCTTTTATTTTTTTGTCATGTATTCTAGATCATCCTTATCCTGTGCCATTATCATCTGATCATCTGCAAATTACAATGTTTAGGTTACATTGGTTTATAGTTAATATCTATTCCCATATTACAATATTTCCTTTTCCATGTTTTCAATACTCCTTCTACGTAGATTTTAAATAAAGTTGTGAGATACAACATTCCTGTCTTAGTCCTCTTGATACCATAAATCCTTCTAATATTTATAAATAAATTAATAATTATAAACAATGAAATACTTGAAAGTGACAACAACCAATCCGAAAATGTTTCGTTTTAAGTCTATCGTCAATTTTGTTTCTGGTTAAAACAGATTCGTTGTTACTTATGATGAAACGAATCATTTCTAGTCTTTAAAAAACATTTTAGAAAAGAAAAATTTAATGCAACATATGACTGTTTATATTATTTTTCATGTAAAACCAATGTATTTTTAATTATAACTTTGACTTCTGTACAAAATGTTCGAGAAATGTGCATTTGATCCGTATTCTTCAATATTATGCTATTCCTGTCTGTGATTCATACAAAAATATTGATATATTTGAGCGTAATAATTCGCTGCTAATTCGACGAAAAGAATTAATTAATTAACTAAATATCACGGTCAAAATTTCAATAAAAGAAAACTTTTACAAAGTAAAAGAAATAATAGTAATATTTTGGTAAGCGTGATCGAATGCTGATGAAGAGTAATTTTCTCTGTCTTTTAACAAATTTAAAGTGAACTTTTAACGTGTATCGTCCGTCTTAATAATAAAAGAAATATAACTATATAACTACGTAATGAACAAAATATAATATTTACACAAGGCCCATTTGCATAAAATTCTTGTCGTTATTACAAGTTTTAGAACAAATATGTTGAATAGAAAGTTTTGTAGCAAGTTACAAGCTGCAATTGCAAGCAATTTGCATCGCACAAGGTTACTTATAGTCAGTAACATTCTGTAAGTATAAGATACAAGATACAGATAGAGGCATCCCTGTACAACAAAGTTTTACTTAACATGAAATTTGATTAACGCATGAAATTAGTTTCAACAATCCCTTTATATGCGCGGCAGAAGTTTTAATTTGCGCGGCATTTCAAGCTGTTTTTACTTAATATAGATACCGAAGTTGATTAACGCGATTTTCATATACGCTATTACATCGAGGGATTAATTAACGCTTTAATCAATTGATACCTGTATTATTAGTCCTGTACTTGTAACCTTTAATTTTTATGCGACGGAACCCACACATTTGGATTTATATTTCTTGGATGATTAATTTTTCCATCAGAATATTTCTAAAAATCCTTTTAAAAATATTCTGGTAGCTTTTATATATGATAACTAAATATTTAATGGAAATTCATTTAAACAAATTAAGATAATTTGACATTTTTCGTACAATTTTAGCGCACGAATTTATTATTATATCGATTAATTATACACGTCATAATATTAAATTAATTAATATCCTATTACGCTTCTTATTTTCGTTTCAGACAAAATGAATTTCGTGATTATAATGGCGATAAAGGTAAGGTTATGCCATAAAAATATAAAATAAAAGAAATGATTTATCAAGAATTTATCTATAATTTTTGTTTAGACGAATTTTATTATAACAAAACGTATAGCGTGTGGCGTCATCTGGTATTTACAATACGAAACATGTGGTACTTTATTCATTCGCAATTAACTAATTTACAAAAATTACAAAATATTCAGGATAATGAAAGGAAACTTTTAAATTATATAGAGGAAAGCGGAGTGGAGTATTATAGGTAATTATTTTATTAATAAACTTTATAAATAGTTGTTCGAAAAATTTATTTATTCTTTTAATAATTTGATTTAATAGAGTTATATGGCATGAACTGAATCGCTTGTCGCAGATGGAAGGATGGTCTTCGAATAGAGAATTGGAAGCTTTCAGATTAGGAGAAATTGTTCAAAACCGGATCGATAAATTGCAGGTAAATGTTTACCACATTTCACAAATCTTTATTTCTTATTTATATTGAGAAATTGGTTATCTTATGTTCAGAATCCGGATCAATGTAATATCTCGAAAGTGTTATTATGCAATTTGACGAATCCTCACGGCTTAGCTTCTTCAATACACGATGTATTATGGTGTTTTATCAAAGCGTATTATAGCGGTATGATGATGGTTTTGGATATATCCCACTGGCACTACGAAATAAAAAGTTGGGAAAGCGCTTTTTTGTCTTTAACTCGTACTTGCCAAAATATGAACATATCTCATATATATAACTCTCCATGGCCCGGAAAGAATGGCAAGTGAAAATTTTATCTATATAATTTTTAATTTTAAATTATGTAAGTAATTTTCTAATATTTTTAAATTATTATTAAAAGATGACAAAGCTCGTTCCGATTTAGGACGTCTTCCGCTTGATCTTAAACCACAGTTGATTCATCTTTTCGATCAACCGCTAGTTTGGTGGTACGGACAATTTATAAGATATTTATTAAGACCAAATGCAGCATTTGAAAGTTATCTTAAAACTAAGGAGAAATTAATTGGGTTTTCTTCTCCTATTGTTGGGTAAGTTTCTTTGTTTTCTTGAAAGTGTCATTACGAATTAAATGCTTAACTATATGCAGTCCTATGTTTCGACTGTCAACGAAGTGTCATTAGGAATTTACGTTTCATTATAAATTATGTTTAAAAATATCTTTAGGTAAAATAAATTTCTAACATAGTAATTATATATATATATATATATATTATAAAAAGATATAGGCCTAATACAAATTTGCAAATTGCAAAAGTGGCACATTTCTGTTTGATGCCATTTAGTTTAGAATATTGCTAGGAATTTTATTTAACTTTAGGGACTTTGAAAGATGCCAAATCTTATATTTCTAATGATTTATAGAAAATGCTTGCAATGCTATTTATGCAAACGCCAATTTAATTAAGAGCGTATCAAAATTTATTTAAGGTTTGCTTGAAATAAATTGAAAGTATAATCCGGTTATGGCTAGACCGGACCCGATATCTTGGAGTAACAATTATTGTCAGGCCTTAGCAGTATTGCGCATTTTCTCATCTTGTTTGGTTTTATATAGTTAATATGACAGTCTTTATATTTTCAGAATTCACGTGAGAAGAACAGACAAGATAGGTAAAGAAGCCAAATTCCACGATCTGTACGAATATATGTATCACGTGGAAGATTATTATAAGCGCCAGGAATTGGATAATCCTCGACTGGAGCGAAAAGTGTTCATTGCTACTGATGATCCATCTGTTATTACAGAGTGCAATTCGAAGTAATATTGTACATATGTGCACAGAAAAATAATTATACACTATTCTATTTGACATAAGGTAACCAGGGATGGATAGTCGGAGTCGGAAGTCGGGAGTCGTGTATTTTTCTGCCGACTGCTCATCCCTGAAGTAACTCTATTATATTTTGCCTAAGTATCTAATTTCGCTTAGAACGGTTATACAAAGTGCAAAGTTCCGTTTGGGAGAGGTAGGGCATAAGGAGTATACGTTCGGTTGTGACGGGTATCATCAGTAGGTATCATAACAACATCAAAAATAGCGATACATTTTGTAAAACGCACATCATGATCGAATAACACAACAGATTAGGAAACAAAAAACATGAATCTTCGATCCTGAGCTAATGGGTCTTATATGGAAGATGAAGAAACGCAGCATCCTACAACGTATTACGGTGACATATATTCATAAGAAAATTGGCGATATTGAGTGNCAAAATGAATTTCGTGATTATAATGGCGATAAAGGTAAGGTTATGCCATAAAAATATAAAATAAAAGAAATGATTTATCAAGAATTTATCTATAATTTTTGTTTAGACGAATTTTATTATAACAAAACGTATAGCGTGTGGCGTCATCTGGTATTTACAATACGAAACATGTGGTACTTTATTCATTCGCAATTAACTAATTTACAAAAATTACAAAATATTCAGGATAATGAAAGGAAACTTTTAAATTATATAGAGGAAAGCGGAGTGGAGTATTATAGGTAATTATTTTATTAATAAACTTTATAAATAGTTGTTCGAAAAATTTATTTATTCTTTTAATAATTTGATTTAATAGAGTTATATGGCATGAACTGAATCGCTTGTCGCAGATGGAAGGATGGTCTTCGAATAGAGAATTGGAAGCTTTCAGATTAGGAGAAATTGTTCAAAACCGGATCGATAAATTGCAGGTAAATGTTTACCACATTTCACAAATCTTTATTTCTTATTTATATTGAGAAATTGGTTATCTTATGTTCAGAATCCGGATCAATGTAATATCTCGAAAGTGTTATTATGCAATTTGACGAATCCTCACGGCTTAGCTTCTTCAATACACGATGTATTATGGTGTTTTATCAAAGCGTATTATAGCGGTATGATGATGGTTTTGGATATATCCCACTGGCACTACGAAATAAAAAGTTGGGAAAGCGCTTTTTTGTCTTTAACTCGTACTTGCCAAAATATGAACATATCTCATATATATAACTCTCCATGGCCCGGAAAGAATGGCAAGTGAAAATTTTATCTATATAATTTTTAATTTTAAATTATGTAAGTAATTTTCTAATATTTTTAAATTATTATTAAAAGATGACAAAGCTCGTTCCGATTTAGGACGTCTTCCGCTTGATCTTAAACCACAGTTGATTCATCTTTTCGATCAACCGCTAGTTTGGTGGTACGGACAATTTATAAGATATTTATTAAGACCAAATGCAGCATTTGAAAGTTATCTTAAAACTAAGGAGAAATTAATTGGGTTTTCTTCTCCTATTGTTGGGTAAGTTTCTTTGTTTTCTTGAAAGTGTCATTACGAATTAAATGCTTAACTATATGCAGTCCTATGTTTCGACTGTCAACGAAGTGTCATTAGGAATTTACGTTTCATTATAAATTATGTTTAAAAATATCTTTAGGTAAAATAAATTTCTACTAAAGTAATTACTAAAAAAAATTCATTATCAATTATGTAAAAAAATTTGAAAATGAATCAATTATATGGAAGAAGGGCATATGCCTAAAATGCATATCAGTGTGTAAGATATTCCTGAATAAAGAGTAATGTTGAAGATGTCCAGTGTCTACCTGTGCACTCACAGTTGTGAAGTAAAGAAGAATCAAATATACATAACTCAACCAAACATTAATTCCTGAATTAGAGAAATTGTTGGAAAATAGCTTGAAAAGTATTTGAGGTTAAAACTCATTGTCAGCTCATGCAATGTAAAAAACACCAAAATTTCAGAATATTCTAACCTATTAGGAATGTTACCAAAACATTAAAATTATCGTAAAATTTAATGCTTATATTTTTGAACCATAGAGTTTTTTTGCACTGTTAGAAATAAAACAACAAAACAAAAAAAATTTTTGTTCTTCTTAACATAATATAATATTATTATATTATGTTATTAATTTGAAATGCAAAAATTATAGATTGAATTTTTTTTAAGCAAGAGATCATAACCATGGAACACATGTTTACCAGCTGATTCTACTTTCTTGTTTACCAGATGACTTTTAAAGATTGCAATAAAAACATCATCTGCTGTTCTGAGTGGAAAAATGGAANCGGGAGTCGTGTATTTTTCTGCCGACTGCTCATCCCTGAAGTAACTCTATTATATTTTGCCTAAGTATCTAATTTCGCTTAGAACGGTTATACAAAGTGCAAAGTTCCGTTTGGGAGAGGTAGGGCATAAGGAGTATACGTTCGGTTGTGACGGGTATCATCAGTAGGTATCATAACAACATCAAAAATAGCGATACATTTTGTAAAACGCACATCATGATCGAATAACACAACAGATTAGGAAACAAAAAACATGAATATTCGATCCTGAGCTAATGGGTCTTATATGGAAGATGAAGAAACGCAGCATCCTACAACGTATTACGGTGACATATATTCATAAGAAAATTGGCGATATTGAGTGTCAAAGCCGGTGGAACGGTCGTTTTGAATTCCACCGTTGTGCGTCATTAATATCGCCGGTAGGCGAACTTGCGAACGTACTCCTGTGGCAAGACTTCTGCGACAATAAGACGCAAGCGCAGCCTATACGATATGTAAAAGGCTGCATAAGAACGAAAGAAAGAGACGAATCTGTTTCTGAAACGGAAAAAGGTGACAGCGCATGTAGAATTCCACATGATTGACACCAGTGTGAACCACATTCCGTTAGCGCACGTTTTGGACAGCGAAATATTCCACCAGCCGGAAATACTCATAAAATACATTTGTACGTTTTGTCTTGATGCTTACAAAATTGGTTTATTGGGCTGCAGTTTGAAAAAATTTTAGACTTATAAATTCTCACTGTCATCCCATGTCTGTCTGCCTGTCTTTCCTTAATCTCGAGAACGGAATTAGATGAAAGACGAGACCAGATATGGAAAGATTAATAGCAGGAGGCCCGATTAACTATATACACATTTCCATTTTTGACCCGAAGTCACGTGATTTCAATTTAAAAATTATCCCTGAAAGGTGTTAGATAGATAACCGGCACGACTCTATTGCTAACGGAAAGTATAATATACAGGGATAAGTTGCTACTAATTTGAGGTGGAGAGCATATATTTTAAATTTTAAAAATTATTAAAAATTGCTTCCGTTTTCCTACATTTATATATAGTACAGTACAGTATTATAAACTTTAACGTGCGTAAATGGCATTTCTTTCGACTCATCGAATGTCCCAAGACGTTCTTGCTTGGTGCTCATATTAATGTTTACAATACTGACTGGAGACAATGTTCTTTATACAGTACAAAGTATTGTTAATTTTTTCAGTCCAATAAATTTCGTTTTGTTATATTGTATTGATTGCGTTCTGCTTTTATTGGTCTTCCGATCTGACCTGATCAAATATCTGGTGCACTTAACATCGCCTACTTTATTGGGCGTAAGTAGACACCACTTTCTTCGCATGCTATTTTTTACTGTTTTTAAATTTATACCATAAAAGCACGATGCGCTTGTCGTTACTACATCCACCTACCTACGGTACATGACCCGATGGATGGTGCTTCTTTTCGAATATGTTTTGTTTTCTTGTTGACCACAGGATCGCACAATAGTTAAAGTAGGAGAAATATGGTACAGTTACCTAATACATGTAGATGCGTTATATTTATGATACAACTGCATAGTTACTTTATACTTTAAATAAGAATAGTAAGAAATATGCATTTTGTTTTTAAAATCAGGTTTTTTTTCATTCTTAGATATCAGCGATTTACCTGCCTCAGTTTTTCTGAAAATGCAGATTTAGCATATAACATGAAAAGTCGCTATACGAATTCGTCTGTATGGGGATCTTTAACAGATATATTCTTATTAGCAAACTGTGATTTTTTAATATGTACTTTTTCATCTGGGGTAAGTAAAGAAAAATAAAATAAGTTATTTTAATCTACTGTATATTATAACATTTAATTGTAAATCACAACTAGTTCATAAGATTTTAATAAATAATACTTCCTTCAAGGATTGCAAGAGTTAAAAAAAAATCTGTTACTTATATTTCTTATAAAATTACATTCTTTCAAAACTGAACAACTGATAATAATACAAGTTTAAAAGACTGATACATATTTTGATATTTTATCCGTATATCAATATGTACGAAGAATTATCAAAATATTTTCAAATACAGTAATCTAAAAACACTTTTGCATTCAGAAGTAGAGATATTAAAAGTAGAAAAATAATTAACAAATAAAGGTAATTATTAATTCATATTGCTTTAAGTATTATCAATAAAATTACTTTTATGTTATTAAATAATAACTTTTAAATATTTTTATTTTATGATTTTTTTTGTCTTCTTAAGAAATGTATTTACATATTAAATGTGTTTTCAGTTTTGTCGTTTGGCATACGAATTAATGCATAGTATTCAACCCGATGCTTCTAATAGAGTACATTCGTTAGATGTTGAATATTTATATGCATGGAAGAAACCACCTCAGAGAATTGCCTTATATTCCCATGTGCCTAAATCTCCTAAAGAACTATGGTTTCATAGGGGCAGTCTAATAAGCAAACAGGATGAGTTCGCCGTAATGTACAGTGCTTTGTATGGGAAAATTTGGAATGGTTTATTGGATGGATTCATAGATAAGACTGGTGAGAAAGGATCATATCCTATTTTCAAGACAATAGAACATTACAATGTGGACAGTTAAAAACTTATAAAACTTTTTACTTTTCTATGGTAATTATTTTAAATACATCGCATTCATTATTTTTTCCTCATAACTGGGCTACGATTCAATATCAAAACAAAAATGTTTTAAAATCAAGTAATCCGATCTGAAGATAACCGACAATACCAAGTATAGTAATACTTGATAGTCAATAATTTTAAATAAAGTTTTAATAAATATGTCAAAATTAAGTTAGTAGTAAGAAAACTTAATTTAATATTAATCGATTAATGTGAGCTTTAAATTGACTAATAATTTGATATTCTCATTTGATTAAATTAATCTATAATTTAAAATTTAATGTTGACCACTTCTGATAAGAATTCAATTCAGATTATAGAGTTAGAAAATTTTCATGAAAATTAAATGACAAGAATTCGTATACCTATCTATCCTACAGGTAATATAATTTTGCTTAGTATGTTTTTAATATAAAATTATTTTGAATTAGTGTATTTAGCATTTGTAAATAAAAAGTTATACTGTATTTCAGCTTTACAATTGTGAAAAAACAACGTAACCAACACCTTATTGCTTGCTGAGGGAGTTTTATTAAAAACGAACGTTTTCGATCCACTTAACGGATCATCATTAGGTTCGAATATATGAAAATGGAATACATGGAACAATAAGTTCAAAAATTCAAAAATATCAATAAACTGATAACATATTAATTAATATGAATAAAAATAAATTGTAAACGATACCAAATAATAAATAATATACTACAACGACTAAACATTAATACTAAGTTTCCTTTAAATCAATTAAATACCATATTTCAGATGATGCGCTACTTGTAAGCTTTTTAACGGCAAATTTCCAAGCCGAGGGAAGACCTTCCGCATCCCTAGCATTACAAGCTTACAAGTAGCGCATCATCTGAAATATGATATTTAATTGATTTAAAGGAAACTTAGTATTAATGTTTAGTCGTTGTAGTATATTATTTATTATTTGGTATCGTTTACAATTTATTTTTATTCATATTAATTAATATGTTATCAGTTTATTGATATTTTTGAATTTTTGAACTTATTGTTCCATGTATTCCATTTTCATATATTCGAACCTGATGATGATCCGTTAAGTGGATCGAAAACGTTCGTTTTTAATAAAACTCCCTCAGCAAGCAATAAGGTGTTGGTTACGTTGTTTGTTTATTTTTGCTGGGTACGATTGTATTCAATTTTACAATTGTGTTTACAGAAAATATTAAAAATCAAATTGTATTGAATTAAAATGTTTCACAAAATTACTAGATTTCTATTAATTTAATGTAGAGAAGCTCTTGAGTTTGGGACGAATTTTTTTCCTAAATCAAATATTTGATAATCAAACTTTAAAAGTTCGTCCAAAAACCAATTTTGAATATATTTATTCTGGTATGCTACAGGCCATTTTCAAAAATCAACAATTGCCTGTATTGTACCTGAATAAATATATTGAAAAAGTAAATTACATTAAATTTTGATAGAAATGAAACACTAAAAATATATTATACTTTTTTATTTTGGTTATTATTCTATCGCGAATTAATTATTTGTTATAGAAAGTCTAACGATAATTCCTGGAGCCAAGAGATTTCAGTTGTAAAACTAGGAAACATGTAAACATTTTTAGACAATTTTAAAGTTTTTTAATATATTTAATTTAATTCAAAATTATGTAATAACTAAAATTTGTTTTTATGTATTAGGAACGTTAATTTTCCTTGGCACAAAATATCACAAAAAGCACTAAAAGATTTTACTACTTCTATTTCTCATTCTTAAAATGAAAAATGAAAGCAATCACAATCATATCATTTAAGACATTGTATGATATCCTATTTGATATTAATTAGTTGGCAAATTAATATTGAAAATTGCAGCCTGACGTTTAAATCTATTATTACATATCTAACATTTTGCTAAGAAAAAATTTGTTATAAGCCTTTTTATAACTTCGCGTAAAAGATACGATTTAAGTTACTTAATCCTTAAATCTTTAAATTAAAAGCTGTAAATTTGTAAGTGAAAATAATGAAGATATACGAGTACAAAAAGTTAATTATTAATATATATTTTATCAATAAACAAACAGGAAGAAAATATTCAATGTGTAATAATAATGATAAATAACGTTTATTTACCCAGTATATTAATATTAATATATAGGATGTTTTTAAAAATTTTACGACTTTGAAAGCATATAGAATTTTAAAACATCTCAATATAAATATATATTTAATCGATATCGACGAGGAAGTAGTTTTAAATTCTTCTTCGATTATTTAATTAATTTCATATCGATTTTATACTCTACGAAAGACTAAAAATTTAAAATGAGAGTTTATGAAATTCGAAAATACAATTTAGTTATCGTTTTAAAGTGAATTTCTTAATTGCAAGAAATTTATTAACGTATCTTTTCATAATATTTACGAATTACGACACTATTGATTCTAAAAATTGTTCCATTTTATTGAAATTAAACACATACAAAATACACGACAAAATAGTAATTAATCTGATTTTGCTCATTCAGACGTACGACGCAGAAATATAATTATTTATTCCTGGATAATAGCATATACTATTTGCATATACATATATATACAGTATATTTGTTCAGTATAATAGCTTGTTATACTGAGCCTTGCCCGGACGTATAAACGTACTGTACAAATCGCAGTAGTTGTTTCATCCTGCGTTATTAATCATAAATTTCAAAAACCATACGTTTTTGAAATTTATGATGTGATAAAACCCATGTTAAGTATATTATCAAAATGTCTATATACTACGCGGGAAGTATGTCCTGGTAAATAGCGAATTTATAGAAAAAAATATTAGAATTAGTTTGGTTTCGGCAACGCGACACGTGGGCGATCTGCCGAGGAGGGTGCCTTCCGGGGGGATTTTTATGAGAAACTGGCCCTTATTTAGGTGTTGCTAACGTGAATTAAACTCTGAAAATTCCACGTGGCTAGGCACGAATCCACGACCGTGTTCGGTGGTTTTATCCACCCGGCCACTGGTGGACACTTATTAGAATTAAGAAAGTACCGTTCAGAAATGAAAAAAACTCGAGTTGTTAGATGTGGAAAATTAAATACTTTTTAAATTAACTTTTTATACTTTTTAAATAGGCCTACTAGTTTCCACAATTTAACATTTTCGACGACATTATCTAATTTAGAAGTATGTTAACGTAATTTCCGAGTTTTGTAGGAATTGGTCGAACGGCCTAGGAGTGTATAGCGAACAAACAAACATTTTCTTTTATATAAATAGAAGCAATGCCAAAAGTTAATCTTTATTATATTACTAGTAGATGGGCCCAGCGTTGCTAGGGCAAAAAGTAACGATAGCGAAGATTAAGATTATTAGATTAAAGTCGATATTGCTCGTTTTTACCAGGTGCAAGAATTAGCCCCCCCCCTCTTCCGAGACTAATTACAGAATTTTTAGATGAGTCTAAAAATATGTTTGATTTCCCGCAAAAACGCAAAAAACCGAATATAAAATAGTACAAGTAGAAGCCGAGTTCTTCAGGGTAACCCTTAACCTATTATTATCAACCCATCTCGATTACAAGGTCGTTGTAAAATATTAATTTGGTGAAGAAGAGAAAAAGAAAGCAAACCTGTGATTTGTTAAGTTTTACCCAGGTGCGGTCTGGTAATAAAACCTTTTACAATGACATGAAAAAAGGAGCAACTAAACAAGTAAACAAGTGGGAAGACAACCGCTCACATTCGGGTCAGCGCGGAAGTAAAAGAAAGCTTAGCGCTCGACCGTCTTTCTGATTGGTCGGAAGTTGGCTCCCAAAAAATCATTTAAATTGGGGTGAAGATCGAAAAAAAAGGTGTGGGGTAAGGGGTTGGTAGCACTTAGATCTCAGATTCTCGGCAAGCCTACTGAGGATAGAGGGAGAGAGAGAAAGAGGTTACACTCCTCTAGAAAAGAGGCTCAGGTACGGGTGAGGTCTGAGATCGGACAAAAAGCGAAGACAGAACCTATACACGGTTCAGAAATTATCGAGGAGACATTCGATCCCCGATGATTCCAGTCTCTCCTTCATCGTTAGTTTATCATTCATACAGTTTTTTGCTGTGTTCAACTGTATATTTACTGTAAATAAACTGTATATACTAAATCAAGTTGAGTATGTAGGTTTATTTTCTACGAACCTACAGTACATTTCTAACATCTCAGACCGTGTTTACCCAAGTATTATGATTGAGGAAAAGAGGGACAGAGAGGAACTATTACCATCGTTATATTTTCTGATTTCAAATGAAAATTCGTAATATTAAATACGTCATAACGGAATAAAATTTAAGCGAAAGCCTCAGTAAATAGCTCTTACCTGATAATCTTGCGAACGGACTGGTGCTGTTACTAATGAATGATATACAGATTTGGATGTCTGATTTCATTTAATACTCATCCGCTACCCGACCTAAAATTTACTTTAACGCTATTGTATCGATTCGTAAACAATGATTTCCGAAAATTTGCAAAGAGAAATAAATAACATTTGACATTCTTATGATTTTTTTCATTCAATTATAATTATTTTATGTATAGGTACTAGCAGATATGCCCGAGCGAAAAGTGATAAGAACAAACATTGAAATTAAATTTGTATGAAAACATTTTGCTATTTTATGCTAACTCAAATCAACAGCATTATTTCGGCCGATCTTTGCAATTCCAAACAAGACGGTATGAAATCCTGAATCATTACTAAGTGGGTCGTTTAGCCCCTTCATTAATTGTTACGAAATGCTTACGCATATAATAGTGCATTAATTTAAACTTAAATTATTACGTATTCAATGGCCAGATATCATGGTAGACATATTTTTAGTCGATGACTGAAAATTTTGGCCTAGATAGATCAACGCGTTTAGAAGTGTAGACGTTCTGTTTTACATACGTATAAGTCACACAAATGTATATGCTACCCGGAATTGAATTACACTGTTA